CCCCAAAACCCCAAAACCCCAAAACCCCAACCATTTATTTTTTTGTTGAATTTCAGTACTAATACTAATATTTTTTATTTTTTACATTCCTGGTGAATCAAGGTTTGCTTCTTCAAACTTCATTGAACTCAAAACTTGTACTGAAACAGCTTGGCTTGTAAACATCCAGAATAACGATCTTTGTAGGCTTTTATTGAATCCTTCATTATTTACTAATTTAATGATTATCATCAGCAAGCTTAATTCCATTTTGGCTTAATTAAGATACAACTTGTTCAGAACCTCCTCCAAGACTTCCTCAGCTAAGGCCTGGATGTTTCCATGTCTGAATTCATTAAATTTGACGAACTGGACAATGTCTCTAATTGTAGCCTCTACCTTTGTATTTCAAAGAATTATGTAATCACCATTCAATTCTATCATTTTGTGGAAGGAATTCTCACCAAAACCGATGATAATAATACTGAGTGGATAATGGCTTCTTTCGACAATGATGTCTCTGGTCTTAGGCATGTCATGGATATCCCCATTTGTCAGGATCAGAAGTATATGATACATCTTTTTATTCATTCGATCTTTAATGCAATCGACTGTCTTAATCATTCAGCTTTCAAAATTAGTGTGTCCATAAATTTCGCAATTGAGAAAGGAAAGCTGGTATGCATCAAGGATTCTTTCGACCCCATCAACCTCAGGCTCTATCTCCCCATTTAAGTGGAAGCAATGAGACACTTTTCTCTTGTCTACATACTTAGGAATGCCTCCAAACCCATATCAAGGATACTGAGGACAATTGTAACGGTAGACTTCCAAGATATTCCCCACTAGCTTGATCATATTTTGGTAGTCGATATATCTTACAGTAGAATTTAAAAAGCAAAACGAGGAAGGGCGTCTAATATCTCCATTTGATGCAGTGAAATCAACTCACACCATGAAGTTAATCTTCCACTCTGAATGTAAGGAATCAAAGAATGAAGGTCTTTCTTCTAAGAAAAATTTCTCGAAGTATCAAACTGAGTCCAGGCGTAATCCATTCTTGAACAAATTATACTCAGTTTGCTCTTCCTAATATTTTCATTCTAGTTTCAAGTTCTCCAAAGAAGCAATGATATCTGTTGTTTCTCCATGAGTAAACTTTAAACTTATGAAACTATAAATATTGAGAATAACTTGTTCTAAAAGGTGACAAATAATTTCTAAAATATTTCCATGTGTATTTTAGTAACTTCTTTCCTTTTCAACTCTTCGGTTTGGCGATATTGCATCATTCAAAGAGCATGGCCTTATTTGGATCTATCTGTCAAGAGGATTAGGAAACACTCTCAGATTTCGTATTTTTTGAGATTGAAACCTAATAGCTCAAGCTTATTTTTCTAAGAGATTTCTTGACAAACCAGTTATATATTTAGTCAAGATTACCAGAAATATTGAAAGAGCGATTTGATGAAGTATTATTAATTAAATCTTATTTAGAATAAAACTTTGATGAGTAAGAGGTCACTAGAGATCTTCATTACAGTTTTCCTTAGAATCATACTTAAGTGCAAACTAAGCAGGATTAAGATTATTACTGACAGGCTCAGTTTGAATGACCCTCAGAAATTCTTTCTGATTACTCTCCCTCGCTCTCTCGATAAAGAAGAAGGGATCATCACTGCTTCAGAACCACCCTTTATTGGGCTTCAAGTGATTGATTCTCATTGAGAAGTAAACGATGTCGTTATTAGAAGAGACTTTCTCAGCCCTAAGGATGATCTGGCCTCTCGACTTCTTTTTCTTCTTGTTTGGGAGGGTAAGTGTATCTGTGAGAGTAGTATTAATACCTCCCATGATCTCTCAAAGGATAATTTCAAAGTTTCCTGTAGGTTCCATACAAGTGACATCAACATCGAGCACCTCCACCTTAATCTTCTGTATTTCTCTAATAAAAGTCAATTTTGAAGTACACTGATAATATTTGAAGAAATTAATTTGAAGAATAAGCAATAATTATCCCATTATGACACTAAAAATTTCATGTTTAGATTTAGCCTGTGCGGAGGTACCTCTGCATCAGAGTCTGTTAGAGCCACTATCTTCTTTAAAATTTTTAATGATTGCATCTCTCAAAGGGCTAAATTAATACATTAAATTCTTGATGCCGTCTTGACCTAACTACTCCTTAACTTATAAAATGTGTTGGTTCAACTATTCTTTGTGTATGTTACAAAATCAGGGTTGATGTTGTTCTAGATCTGCTCTATCTTGCCAAAGAGTTTCCAGTCATTTGGCCTTTCAATGCTGGCTACGTAGATATGGCAGACTGGGTCAGAGACTGTAATGATGTTCAGATTGGCTAACTTCCTGCATGAGATATGCAAGGTTATTTTCTCAGTGGGTTCCCTTATGCTGTATACACTTTGGGAGTCTTCGTCCATTATTTTTAAGTAATTAATTTTTGGTTCATTTAGACCAGTTAAATGTGGGGTTTTGGGGTTTTGGGGTTTTGGGG